TCTGGGAGATATCTGTACTCCCCCTGAGAACACCTATGCTTCTGTGTTATCCCCTTCCACACATCCTGCCTCTATGTGTATATAACCCCTGTGTGAAAAAAATTAAAATAGCTGTTTGATGAGACTATAGACAAGCCATCGTTCTTTATCTCCCCCCTCCCCCCGCCCATCCTCCAGTTCTCTCTTCCAGGTCTTCCAGAACCCAGTTCAATGCCCCATGGGACTGGGGCACACCATGACCAAGGCAACTCTTATAAAGGCAAATACTTAATTGAGGCTGGCTTACAGTCTCAGGGGTTCAGTTCATTATCATCATGGTGGGAAGCATGGTAGCATCCAAGCAGGCATGGCACTGAAGGAGCCAGGAGTTCTACATCTTGATCCAAAGGCAACCAGGAGAAGACTATCTTTCATACTGGACAGAGTCTGAGAGAACTCAGAGCCCACCTGCCCAGTGGCACACTTACTCCAACAAAGCCACTCCCTATGGCCAAGCATTCAAACACGTGAATCTATGGGGGCCAAACCTATTTGAACCACCACAGTGGTGCACACCTGTAATCCTAACACTTTGAAGACAATGGCAGAGGCAGGAGGATCATAGTAAGCTAAAGGCTGGAGGGGAGCATCATAAGTTCAAAGCTGACCTACTCTATGTAGTGAATAAAGGCCAGCCAGGGTTACATAATGAGACTCTCAAAAAAAATTTTTTTAACTTGAAAACAGCATTAAGAAACCCCATATAAGCCGGGCAGTGGTGGTGCACACCTTTAATCCCAGCACTTGGGAGGCAGAGGCAGGCGGATTTCTCAGTCTACAGAGTGAGTTCCAGGACAACCAGAACTACACACAGAAACCCTGTCTCGAAAAACCAAAAAAAAGTAACCCCATATAGGAGCTGGAGAGTTGGCTCAGTGGTTAGAAGCACTAACTGCTCTTCCAGAGGTCCTGAGTTCAATTCTCAACAACTACATGGTGGCTCACAACCATCTGTAATGGGATCTGACACCTTCTTCTCGTGTGTCTAAAGGCAGATATAGTATACTCATATATAAAATAAATAAATAAATCTTTAAAAAATATGTTAAAAAAAAAAAAGGAAGCCCCTTATAAGCTTGGGTAGTTGTGATGGCACACGCCTTTAATTCCAACACTCGAGACAGAGGCAGGCAGATCTCTGAGTTTGGGGCCAGCCTGGACTACAGATGGACTTCCAGTACAGCCAGGGCTATACAGAGAAACCCTGTATGGAAAAAACAACAGAACAAAAAAAAAAAAAAGAAAAAAAAGAACCTATGTATTAATAATACAGTTACTGTACTTTGTGATTGGTTTGGGGTTGTTATTATCATCTCTATTATATGTATGTGTCTATCTGCTTGAATTTATGTACACTGCATGAATGCAGGTGTCCCCAGGGGCCAAAAGAGGTTATTAGATGCCCTGGAACTAGAATTACAAGTGATTCTAAGCCACTGTGTGGGTACAAGCCTAGACAAGCAGCCAGTGCTCTTAACCTCAGCCACTTCTCTAGGCCCTAGTTTGATGTTTTGAGATAGGAGTCTACTGTATAGCCCTAGCTGACCACAAAGTCCTAATAGTCCTCCTGCCTCAGCTTTCTAAATGCTGGGATGACAGGCATGTACTACCAGCCTAGCTTTTGCTTTTATTTTGAGATAGAACTTTGCTTTATAACATTAATTGCCCTCACATTTGTGATCCTCCTGCCTCAGCCTCCAACGTGCCAGGATTAGTGGTATACCACCATGCCCTGTCTATAAAAATGTAATTCTGGTGTGTATTAGTGAACATTAAATAATAAACAATAATTAATAATGGGATTCTAATTTTTTTTTTTTTTTTGCAGAAGTTATGTAATACAAAGACTCTATGAAAGTAAAGAAGTTACTCAGCATGGAGAAAGCTTCAGCCAGATTCCAAACACTGGTGTGACCAAGATAACTTCTGGGGGAAAACCATATCACTGTAGCATGTGTGGAAAAGGCTTCATGCTTTGTTCATCTCTCACTAGGCATGCCAAATCTCACCCTGGGCATGAACTCGATGGGTTTAAGTGTGGAAAGAAGCAATATAAATGTAAGGAATGTGGGGACACCTTCAGTTACCTCAAATCCTTTCAGAGACATGAAAGGACTCACGCTGGAGAAACCCCCTACAGGTGTAAGTACTGCGGGAAGACCTTCATCTATTACCAGCCCTTTCAGACACATGAGCGGACACACACTGGAGAGAAACTCTATCAGTGTGAGCATTGTGGTAAAGTGCTTAGCTCTCCTGGTTCTCTTCGAATTCATGAAAGAATTCACACCGGGGAGAAGCCCTATGTGTGTGAGAAGTGCGGGAAAGCCTTCAGCAGTCCCAGTTCCATCCAAATCCACGAAAGAACCCACACCGGGGAGAAGCCCTATAAATGCAGAGAATGCGGGAAAGCCTTCATATCCCACACAAGTGTTAAAACACACATGGTAACGCACAGTGGTGATGCAGACAAGCCTTACAGGTGCAAGGACTGCGGGAAGGCCTTCCTTCGGCCATGTTTTCTTCGAGTGCATGAGCGAATTCACACTGGAGAGAAGCCATATGTTTGCAAACAGTGTGGAAAAGCTTTCAGATGTTCCTCTTCAATTCAGAGTCACAAAAGGACTCACACGGGAGAGAAGCCGTACGCGTGTAAGGAGTGTGGGAAAACTTTCAGTGCCCACTCAGCATTCCGAGTCCACAGGCGGGTGCATACCGGAGAGAGACCTTATAAATGCAGAGACTGTGGGAAAGCCTTCATCTGTCTCACGTACTGCCGCGCACACGAAAGAAAACACACCAGAGAGAAAGCCTACGAATGTGAACAGTGTGGAAAAGCCTTTGTTCTTCTTGAAAACTTTCGACGACATGTCAAAACACACACTGAAGACCTACCTTACAAATGTAAGGAATGTGGAAAAGCTTTCGTTTTCCTCAGCGCACTTCGAGCACATGAAAGGATTCACACTGAAGAGAAGCCTTATGAGTGTAAACAATGTGGCAAAACCTTTAGATGTTCAAGTTACGTTCAGGTCCACAGGCGAATCCACACCGGTGAGAAACCCTATGAATGTAAGGACTGTGGGAAAACCTTCATTCATTCTACGAGCTTTCGAAGACACATGAGACTGCACACAGGAGAGAAACCCTATGAATGTAAGCAGTGTGAGAAGGCCTTCAGGCTTGACAGTTCTCTTAAAAGACATGAAAGAACTCACAGCTGAAAGAAATGTGTTTAGTGTACACATTATGGGAGAACTTTTTGCTTTGTCAACATCCTTCAATAAATGTGAAACTGCACAATAGAGAGATAACAAATGTGAGGAATGGGGGACAAATGTTTTCAATTTTAACACTTTGTTGTGAAATTATCCATTGTAGAGAAATCTCATGCTATTAATTTAGTAATTAAGTAATACAGGAAACTAACTACAGTGTTATAGGAAACTCACATCAAATGGGCCAGAAAATTTTAAATGTGAGGAAACATGAAAGCTAAACATGCCTGTCAGTGTTTGTTTCTGATATATCTGTATGATTTGTTTGTTTGCTGTAGCCCTGACCGGCCTGAAGTTCATTATGTAGACTAAATTGACCTTAAACTCAGAGATACACCTGCCTCTGCCTCCCAAGTGCTGGGATGAAATGCGTGTGCCACCACCGCCCAGCCACTATTCTGTCTTGAGTAGCCTCTTTCATCTCTGTTCTTGTAAGAGCTGGGCATAGGGCTGGAGAGATGGCTCAACAGTTAAAAGCACTAACTGCTCTTCCAGAGGTCCTGAGTTCAATTCCCAGCAATCACATGTTGGCTTATAAACCATCTGCAATGGGACCCAATGCCCTCTTCGGATGTGTCTGTAGGCAGCTACAGTGCACTCATATACATAAAATGAATACATAATTTAAAAAGAGCTGGGCATATCCTATTCTGTAAAATCTGTGATTCATCATTTTGTCACTCAATTAGACATCACTTCAAACCTGGGTACTTCCTTCCACCAACTAACTCTACCTTCATCAAAGGAGTGTACTAAGGGCAGGAAGGTTGGGAACCACTGCCCTAGGGATTCATGTTTTCTCTCTCTTTCATTATTTTTCAGACAGAATCTCAAACTGTAGCCAAGATTGACTCAGCTTGGAACACATATGTAGTTCATGCTGTCATTGAGCTTATGGCAATTCTCCTGCTTCAGCCTCCTGAGTGCTGGAACTGCAGGCATGGGTAATGGGATTGCTATTCTTGGTTGTCAACTTGAATGTACCTGGAATTAACAAAAACCAAATGGCTTGGCACCCTGTGAGGGATTTTCTTTTTCTTCTTTTTTAATCTCTTCTCCTTTCTTTCTTTCTCTCTTTCTTTCTCTCTTCCTTTCTTTCTATTCTCCTTCTTTCTCCTCCTCTTCCTCCTCCTCCTCCTCTTCCTCTTCCTTTCTTTGTGTTTTTGAGACAGGGTTTTTCTGTATAGTTCTGGCTGTCCTGGAACTCACTCTGTACACCAGGCTGGCCTTGAACTCAGAGATCCTCCTGCCTCTGCCTCCTGGGTGCTGAGACTAAAGGTGTGAGCACCACCTGATCTTTTATTTTTCTTAAATTATTTGACTTGAGAAGACTTGTTGGGGGTGAGAAGATAAACCTTTAATCTAAATCTTTTGAGATGGAAAGACCCACTTCTACTCTGGACTACATGTTCTGCTGGCAGCCTATATAAAGGACATGGAAAAAGAAAGCTTGCTTTTTTGCCTACTTCTTCAGGATTCCTGCATGTACTGAAGACCAGCTGAAAATCCAGCCTTATGGACCAAACTGTTGGGGTCCAGGTTTGCCCCACAAACCACACAAACTCTGATCTCAGTTAGACAGGGATAGTTTATTAAATTCACACTGATCATCAGGGCCATAGCTGAGAATTCATTCGTGGGCTGAGGCTATGACCCCGGACATTTTTCTATGTCATCTTATAAAGGCTAAAACCAGAATGAGCTCATAGGTAAGTGCTGGAAGTGCTGCCCAGTGGTCAGCTCTGACAAGCCATTTTAGAATGAACAGTTCACACTGACCTTTAATTTAATGGGTCCTATGTGAAGCTCACAGTTGTGGGATTTCTTAAGATTAACAAATCTCATAACATAAAGAACATACACAGGGTATCAAGTGTCAAGTTGACAGAACTATCCAGCACACTCCTCTGTCCCAGTCCATCACAGAGGGAAGTCCAGGGCGGCAGTTCAAGGAAGGAACTTGGGGAATTGAAGCAGACTCACAGAAGAAATGGTGTTTACTGGCTTGCTTAGCTTACTTTCATAAACAATCCAGAGCCACCTGTCAGAGATGACACCACTCAGAGTGAACTGGCCCCTCCCTCCCATATTAATCAAGAAAGTATCCTATAGGACAATTTGATGAAGGCAATTCCTCAATTGAGGCTCCACTGTCAAAGATAACTCTAGTTGGTGTTGAGTTGTTAAAACTACCAAGAGCTTGCAGCTCCTCCAGAAGCACTGTGTTCAGTGGTTTCCTCATCTCATTCAATTGTGGGTTCTCCAGCTGCTGATGAACATGCCCTCTGTGTTCATTTGCATGTAAATGAATGGAATTTTAAATGATAGATTACTGTTATTGGCACAGCTATATCCACTGGAAACAGCAAAAGGCATGAAGCCAGCATAGCTTTGACATGGCTCTAGCAAAGCCGAGCCAAATGCTACAGTCGCTGTCATCCTGTCTCTCACTTTGGGGTCTTGGTCTCTTGGTGCTGCATTCCTGGGGACTTTCTACATTATGCTTCCTTTTGTGTCTTTTCCTGAGAAAATTATGTTTGAGTCATTTTAGGAAAATCCTAAAGTTAACTTTACCTGGCCCTATTTAGAAGTCTCTCAGTGCCCTGGAGATCACTAGCACAAATAAACACATAACTCGATGAGGCCATTGCTCAGGTATTCGGCATCTGCCCCCGAGCAAACAGTGTAATTGTTTCAAGGTAAACAGAGACAATTGACAGTCTCTGACTGGCCAGGAGAATAGGTTACAGATTCAAGGCCTCTTTTTACTATATGCTTAGAGGTCTCTGGAGGAAGGCTCAGTGAGTTAGATAGATTGACTACAATAGACTTTCCCTACTTTATAGTGTAGATGATAAGCAATACAGTAAGGGAGGTAGGCATTAGTATTTGCTATTCATTAAAAGACTGGTTCAGATATTTTCTGTTTGTCTGCTGTGCTTTCAAGCTGAAAGCACTGCCAGCCTAAAAGCAAGCTGTCATATGGCAAATGTGTTTGCTTTGGAGGAGACATTCTTTTTTTATTTTTTATATACATTGGTGTTTTGCCTGCATGTGAGAGGGAGTCGGATCCCCTGGAACAAGAGTTCCAGGCAACACGTAGGTGTTGTGAATTGAACCTGGATCCTCTTAACCCCTGAACCATGTCTCCACCCTGGAGGAGACATTCTTTAGAGTCTCTAAATTGGAGTTATAGGGCTGACAATAAAAATAAAAATCTATTCTGTTTCTATTTTCTGATTGTGAATGAACTTGTAACCCTGGACATGTAGTGACACAGATAATCTGTACTTCTTGGATAATCATTAGTCTGTCTTTGTTCTGTGAATCCTGTATAAACAAAGAAGCAACCAGATTGCTTCAATCAGAGCTGCAAGATCCCCTGACCATCAAACCTGACTCCCTCCTTCTCCTCACTGACTCTCTATCTCCTCTTGGGAAAACCTTGTTGACAAACATTTGGGACAGGCCCCCCAGCATTTTATGAAATGAAAGAGTCTATAAATAAGTCTTGGATTTTTTTTTTTGCATTAACTATTTTGAAACAAGTTGCACATTATCACTGCCTGCCCCATTTTCCTGGTCTATTAAAATATGCCATTGTGTGTACAAAGAGTCAGAACAACGGCACTGTTTTGTCAAGCTGATCATACACTTAGTTACTGTTCTGTTGTTGTAAAGAGATGCCATGACCGAGGCAGCTTATAAAAGAAAACATTTAATTGGGGGCTTGCTTATAGTTTCAGAGGGGTGAGTTCATGATCATGATGGTACTGTGAAAAGGCAGCTGAGAGCATCGGTCCACAGCCAAAGAGGGAGGCACTGGGCCTGTCTGGTATGGACTTTTAAAATGTCAGAGCCCAGCTCCAGTGACACATGCCTCTCATCCTAATCTTTCCCAGTTTACCAACTAGGTACCAGGCACTCAAATATGGGGGCCATTCTCATTCACACTACATACACACCTCAAGTCCAGGGGACAGTTTCCTAACTATCTCTTCATGTTGGTTGCTTGAGTTATCCCAGGAGAGGTCCTTTTGCCATGAGCTAGGTATCAATGAACCCTTTGTTTTATATATCTCTAGCCTCAAAGATTTTTATTTATTTATTTAAAAAAAACTTAAGTCAAAGTAATCTGCCTGCAATACAGGACTAAGGACAGGGACTTTTGTTTCTAGAGAAAGAAATTCTCAGGAGATATACTAGACTCACAGCAGATGAAAATAGGGCTAACCCACAGTGAGACAGCCAGCCAAGTTCCACATGTCTCTGTGTGGGCCTGCAGTAACCATCAGAGCATGTAATCTGAAGAGCCCAAGCTATCAGCTTCTTAGAATTTAGCCTCAGGCTTCTAGACGGATCTGATGCCATGCACATGGCCATCCAGCTCCAGGGACAAAAGTGGTCATTGTGTGACACAGTACAGGACCTGTACTGAAAAATGAGCCATCTGACTTCCGTGGGCTAGTCTGGATGGCTTAAGATAATCTCAGTTCCAAAGAAACCTTGGAATTGATGGCATCTAACAGTGACCTTTGAGATTGTACTCACACGACTCTGGCTTCTCTTTCCAGTCCACCCTGGCCAGCTCCCCTTCTAGACTCTAGAGTAAGACTACGTCTTGTTTTGTTGAGACAAGAGTCTCACTACATAGATTAGATCTGTTACTTAGAGACTTCTAAGTCCTTACTTACTTACTTACTTGAGAGAGAAGCAGGGTCTCACTGACTACACAGCGAGTGCTGGATTACACAGCAGCTCCAGCCCCCTGCATGGGTCTACACTAGTCCTCTGCATGTGTTTTGGTTGTTAGCTTGGTGTTTTAGTGGGACTCTTACCTGTGGAAGTGGAGGTGTCTCTGACTCTTTCACCTGCTCTTGGGACCCTTTTCCTCCTACTGGGTTGCCTCACCTAGCCTTGATGTGAGGGTTTGTGCCTAGGCTTACCATATCTTGTTATGCTGTGTTTGGTGGATATATTCCTGGGAGGCTTTCCCTTTTCTGAAGGGGAACAGAAGAGGAGTAGAACTGGGGGGGGAGGGTGTAGGGGCAAGGAGGGGAGGGATAGAGGAAAGGAAACTGGTTGGAATGTATTGGGAAAAAAACATTTAGGTGTTTTTTTTTTTTCATTTCATGTGTGGGTGTGTGCACTCGAGTGAAGGTGACCATGGACCATAAAGGCCACTGGCATGGGATCCCTTGAAGGCTGGTGTTACAGTCACATTAGCAAGTGATGGAAGCTAATCTCAA